ATAGGGTCCTAGGGGAGCAGTTAGGATGGGGGGTTCTCAGGAGGGGGCAGTCAGGGGACAAAAAAGCAGGGAGGCTTAGATAGGGGGTAGGGTTCTAGGGGGCAGTTAGTGGCAGGGGTCCCAGGAGGGGGCAGTCAGGGGACAAGGAGCAGGGGGTTGGGGGTTCTGAGGGGGACAGTCAGGGGGTGGGAAGTGGGAGGGAGTGGATGGTGGTGGGGCAGGGGCCAGGCTAGAGCGGGGCTCCCCCCCCCCATGTCCTCTTTTTTGATTGTGGAAATATGGTAACCCTACTGTTGAGCTTCAGTTGTGAATAGCAGAACAGGGTGGCTGTTATATCTTTAGTTGTCCCCTGTACTTAATTGAGCTTCTAGACCTTGTGGATTCTCCCCTTAGGCTGGGGGAGGTCCTTTAGTAGTGGGTGGTCTCCGCCCACCCATCTCCAGGATCTCAGCAGACTGAGGCTGATCTACCTGCCTTCTACTCTTTTGAGGCTGTCCTGCTGGCCGGTTGCCCCCCGGCTGCTACTGCTACTGTGGAGAGGACCCTACTGGTTTGACCCTCAGAGACAAGTGCAAGGCCCCACATTTTCCATCATTTTGGGGGCTTCTCCTGGCTGGGTTGCTGCTGCCCTTGCTGCTGGAGAGCCTGTTGCTGCTGCTGGAGCTGAGGAGGGAGTGGAGGAGGCCCTGCTTTGTGGAGGGGGTTTGTAACATCCTTGCTTCTGTGGTGGTAGGTGCCGTTGTAGTGGGGAGCTGGGGGAGTGGCGTGGAGCCCTCCCACTGGTCTGTCCACTCCCCTACTGCCACCACTACCCCCTCCACTTTCCTAATCATCTGGCTCTGCTCTCCACTCCCCAGCCCAGCAGTTTGCTCTGTCCTTTTTCCCATCTTGGGACAGTATCAGCAGCGAGGGGGCACTTGTTTTTCGGGCGCCCGTGGATGCGCATGGCCTCTTCCCTCCCTTGGACTTGCCCTCCCTCCCCTGCTGCATTTGGCTGATGGGCTCTCTTTCCCGCTGCTTCGCCCTCTGCCCTGTCCTTGCAGCTGTTTGCCCCCTTTCCCTTTGCTGCCTGCCCCACCCATTCCACTTCTAGCCATCCTGTTTGCTCTGTTTTGCCCTGCCCTGCTTTTTGTGGGGCTTTTTTCTTTGTTGTCCTTGGTTGGTTTGTTTGCTGTGCCCCATCCCATGGTGCAGGCGTTGATGCCAGCCCCATCTCCTTTTTTTTTTTTGGTTTGGTTGCTTTTGAGCCCACCCTGTTTTTTGTTCCTTGCCCCTGGCATACTCGTCCTCCCCCACCCTTCATTCCAGTCCCTTGCTGTTTGCCCCCCCCCCCCCAGTTTAACCTCTTGCCTGCGTGCCCACTTTCTATTTTCGGCACTTGGGATTCCCCTTCCCTCTTCAGTTATTCCCTTCACTGATGCGCACTCCTTCATGATGCATGATGCTTTAGTTTTTCCCCCTTTTCCTTCGTGCAGCTGGGGGAGCTGGTTTCTTCATCCTGTGCTGGGAGTTGTGTTCCTTGTTTTTCTGCGTCCCTTTCTGTTGGTGCCCTCCTGCCCTGCTTTCAGCCTAGCAGGGGTGTGTGGTAGCCGTTCTCCCTCCCTTCCCTTCGTTCCCTTTGTTTCCTGCCTTAAGTGGCTGTCCCTATCCCTCCTTTACTGTGGTGGGTGATTCGGGGGATGGGACTACCCTGGTCACCCCTGCGACTCCCCTTTAGTCTCCCTTCCCACCTTCCCTTGTGATGGCTGCCTCAACCACCGCTGCCGGGTTGCCTGCCATCGCTGCCACTTAGGCACTGACGGCGGCAGGCTCGGATAGGGACTCCATTGCTGCTGCCACAACCTCTGCTGCCTCCGCTTCTGAGACCACTCCCTTGGCCGGTGGGAAGGGCCGGGAGATGAAGAAGGGCAAGGGCTGTGCCCAGAAGGCGAACTCACCCATGGCAGTGGTTCCTTTTCCCGCTGTGATCCCGTCAACGGCCGCAGGCCCCCTTTTCCCCCGACCCGTTGTTCCCTCCACCAGCCCTGGAGGTGCCACTTCCTCGGCCCCCAGGGCGTACGCCCAGGTTGCTGCAACCCCCTCCACTCGCCGCCTCGCCATCTGCTCCAGCCCTCTCCCGGAATACCATTCCCGGTGGCCGGGGCCCCTTTCCCACCCTCACTAGGGAGCACAGGGTGTGTTGCCTCCTGGTGTTAGCCTTGTCCCACGTCGAAACCTACATGCGGGCATTGGCACGGGTGGTGGGGCCCCCAGCCATGGAACAGCCTCTAAGATGTTTGGGAAGGTGATGTTCTTCCTGGTGGTGGAGGCTGCTGCCCAGGAGGCAGTGGAGAGGGGCTTGGTGGTGGGGGGCGTTCATGTTCCCCTTGAGCCTTTGGAGGACCTGGGAGTACTGGTGGTTTTCTCCTCTGTTCCTCCCTTCCTCCCCAATGCCGCCCTTTTGCCATTCCTCTCCACCCTGGGGAAGCCCCTGTCCATCCTCAGCCCCCTTCCATTGGGCTGTAAGGACCCCGCCCTCTGCCATGTTTTATCGTTCCACCTGCAGGTGCAGGTTCAAGTGCCACTGGCGGCACGTGATGGAGGGGCTCTGGAGGGGTCCTTTCTGGTGCCCCATCGAGTGGCCCAGTACCTGGTCTTCTATTCTTCGGGGGAGGCCCAGTGCTTTCTCTGCTGGGTGGTGGGGCATGTCCGGCCCTGATCGCCCGGTCCCTGGGGGTCGCCCCTCCTCCATCCGTGACCGTTGTTAACTCTGCTCGGGTCTCGGGGGAGTCCCCCTCCAACGTGCCCAGATCAGTGTACGGGCTCCGCCGCTGGGAATGGTATTAGTAGACCAGGGCCCGCAGAAGAATGAATGGCAGGGCCGGTAGCTGAAATCGAGCGGGGCTTGCCTCAGGGGGAGTCTGTCCCTTGTCCTGCTGTCCTGCCCTCATCTTCCCTTACCCTCCTGTCATTGCCCTCGCTCGCTGGCTCTGACCCGGCTGGCCAGCCCCCCTCTTCGGGGATCTGGGAGCTCGTGCGAGGGAGGCACCGTAAAGCGGGGAATGCAGGCCCAGCACCCCCCCACCATTGGCAAGGGGGAAGGGACCCCCTGTAAAACTATGAAGGGGGTTGCTGGCACTGGGTTTTCTGCTGTATCCCCTGCTGATGCTCACCGGTTGGAGTCGGCAGAGGTCACTGCAGCCACCGAGGCGGGTAGTGCCACCTCTCTCATGGAGTCCCTCCCTGAGGGAGTTACGGAAGGTGTCCCCCCTGCTTCTTTGACATCTGTGCCCCCTGTAGGCGCCGAAGTGGCTACTGTCCTGGCTGCTGTTGAGGGGGACCTCGTAGAGGCGGGTGGGGACTTTGCCTCTATTTTTGACGAGATCGAGGCCTTGGGCTTGACCACAACCACTGAGGAAGTGGACACCTCCCTGTTAGAGGGGCTCGGTCAGGGCGCTTGCAATCTGTCGCCCCTCCCTCCCCCTTTTCCCCTATCTCAGGCGGTTGCCCCTGTTTTGGCCTCTGCAATGTCCTGGGACCTGACCATCTGCCCGGCTGCGATTGGTAATCCCGCTGCTGCCACCGTGCCCAGTGAAGTGATGGCTGACGCTGAGTGGCTGGGCTCTGAGCCCATGGGTACCCTTCCCTATGATGCGGGGTGGCAGCCCTCACCCCCCCCAGTGCTGTAATTGTGGGTACCTCGTTTAATGGGGCACCTGAGCCTAGAGCTGTGGGGGTGCCCCAATCCCTTGCTGCCCCTTTGACGACCGCGCTGGGGTGAGAGGTGCTGTGTCCCGTGGTCTTGCGACTTGGGCCCCAGAATTTGGCCCTGTCCCCTGCCCTAGGTTGGTGTCCTGTCCCTTTCCCTGACCCCATTCCAGCCCCTGCTACTGTCCTTACTCTTTCTTCCTTCCCTCCTCCTGTTGCTGCTGCCCCCAGGGTTGCCTCATTTTCCTTTTATGAGGGCCCCAGGGAGGCGGTTTTTGTTTTTCCCTCTCCTGACCCATCTGGGGCTGCAGTTCTCCCTTCGCCATTGTGGCGAAATGGGGGATAAAGCGTCGATAGTACCCAACGACTCCCAAAAATGCCCGGACTTGTTTCTTACGAACTGATTGGGGCCAGTTTTGGATGGCCTCTAGTTTATTAAGTTGGGGTTTCACGATGCCTCACCCCACAATGTAGCCCAGATATTTAGCCTCTGTTAACCCTATGGCGCACTTGGCAGGATTTGCGGTAAGGCCAGCACGCCTTAGGGTATCTAGGACAGCTTCCACCTTTTCCAGGTGGGATTCCCAGTCCAAGGTATGAATAATCACATTGTTCAGGTAGGCGGCCGCATAACTGGTATGGGGGTGCAATAGCTTATCCATCATGCGCTGAAAGGTAGCTGGGGCCCCATGGAGACTGAACAGAAGGACTGTATATTGAAAAAGGCCCTCTGGCATGGAGAAAGTGGTCTTCTCCTTTGCGTCTTCAGCAAGGGGAATCTGACAATTCCCTTTAGTTAAGTCTAGAGTGGTCAGGAACCGGGCATTTCCCAATCGATCCACTAACTCGTCTATGCGGGGTATAGGATATGTGTTGAACTGGGACCCCTCATTCAGCTGACGGAAGTCATTGCAGAATCTTGTGGATCCATCTGGTTTGGGTACTAGCACGATCAGGCTAGACCACTGACTGTGGGACTCTTCGATTACTCCTAACTCCAGCATTTTCTTTACTTCTGCTCTGATTTCTTCTCTTTTGGCCGCTGGCACCCGGGGTTTGTAATGATGTGATGGTATGTCTCAGTTGTTCGACCGGGCCAAGACGAGAATACGTCTTGGTTCCAGTTGATCATCTCAGACACCTCCTCTCTTTGGGCTGGTGTTAAATCGGGAGACACCCTCACCTGCTTGGGGGTTTTGTTTTCCTGAGGTGGGTCCTTTTGGGCAACTACACACACTTCTTGAGTTCGCCAAGGCTTTAGAAGATTGACGTGGTACACTTATTCTTGTTTTTTAAGTCCCGGTTGTCACACTTTGTAATTCACCTCTCCTATAGGTTCAACTACTTCATAGGGCCCCTGCCACTGGGTTTACTCTCTGCAGTGGGTACTAACACCATTACTCGGTCTCCTAGTTGGAACTGCGGTACCTTTGCTTGGCAGTTGTAGTGAGTTTGCTGAGCTTTTTTGGCCTTCTCTAGGTGCTCCAGCACTATGGGGGGTGACCCGGTTTATAGGTCTCTCATTTGCAATACATGCTCAACTATATTCTTTCCCGTATTGGGCTCCTCTTCCCAAATCTCCCTGGCTATATCTAGTATGCCCCGGGGGTGGTGGCAAAGGGAGAGAATCCAGTAGAGGCTTGGGGAACTTCATGGATGGTGAACATAAGGTAGGGCAACAGGGTATCACAGTCTTTTCCATCCCTACTGACCACCTTTTTTATCATGGCCTCGAGGGTTTGGTTGAATCTCTCTACCAGTCCGTTGGTCTGTGGGTGGTAAACTGAGGTTCGCAGAGTCTGGACATGGAGCATAGAGCAGAGGTCCTTCATCAGCTTAGACATGAAAGGTGTTCCTTGGTCCATTAGAATCTCTTTCGGTAGCCCTACTCGGGCAAAAATTTCCACCAGCACCTTCATTATGGACTTGGAGGCTGTATTTCATAGGGGAATGGCCTCTGGATACCTGGTTGCATAGTCCAAGATGACAAGCCCATATTGGTGACTTCGAGTTGTCTTCTCTAGAGGCCCCACTAGGTCCATGGCTATTCGCTCAAAATGGATCCCAAGTGTCCCCCAAAGAGGTGACTGTGGGCGAGACTTAATATTCTCCTCTGATGTTTTCGGGGTGCCAGGAGCTGGTTTACCATTTGGTCCTGCATTTGTACCCAAAGGTCTCTCTTCCGGGACCTATTGACTCAAACTCCGAGGAACTGGTCTCCACCTCCTCGGTCAATTTGGTGGCATTGGCGATGGGATCAGACTCTGCTTCCTCCTCCTCCCCTCTGGGGGTTTCTTCCTCAGTTCCCCATGCCTGTAGGCCTGCCAGGTTCATGCTCTGGCCCTGAAGCAGAATCCAGGTGCCCAAAGACTTCGCTGCCCTCCTCTCCCTCTTGGTTTTTCTGCCTTTGCCAGGGGCGGGGAACAACTCTTGAGATATTTCAGCAGAGAAGGGGAGGGGGGTGACTTTCTGTTAGGGATGACTCCTTAACTTCGGGGTCCTCTCCTCTCTCCCACCCCTCTGGCAGGAGCAAATTTCCAAATCCCTGGAAATCCCTTCCAATGAGCACAGGGTATGGGAGTTTAGGGACCATCCCCGCTTTTACCCCGGTGATATTTCCCAGGATTTCGATCCTCACTAGGATGACAGGATAATAACTAATGGTCCCATGTACACGTTACTCCCGTATGCTTAACCTGTATTAACTGGCTGTGTTTCACTAGTTTCCCTGAAATCAGGATGACAGCACTGCCAGAGTTCACAAGTGCCACGGTCTCTACCCCATTCAGTTTCACTGGTTTTGTATATTGGTGTAGGATAACTGTGACCCCCACGAGGTTGATTAGGGTCTGCCCAATCCCCCAGGTTACACTGTATGGGCTCCTCAATATTGGGACATTGTGTCGCTAGGTGTCCCCATTCTCCACATGTGTAACACCTATAAGAGGCTCTAGGTACTCCTCTGTCTCTTGGGTTAGGGGTCTTTGCCCTGTGGTTCCCCCCGCTCAGGCTATTACCCCCCTTCTGGGTTCCCGGCTGCTCTGTGGCCACTACCCTCTTCCACCTGGGGCTCCCCGGATGCTTGGTTGTCTGACCTTCCGGGATTGGGGCTGGGTACTTGTTTCCGGAGAAGGCTTCTCTGGATAGTCGGGACAGCTCTCGGGCTGCCACAGTCTCTCCACCAAGGTGATCACACCATCATCACAATGGATAGATACAGAGAGGGTGACAGAAAGATATAGTAAGTGATGTGGGGAGATAGCTGGACAGATAGCTATAGAGGGGACACTAGATATTTAGATAAATAGTTGTGGGAGGATAGATAGATGTGTGGGTGGGGAATAGATACATAGTGCGATACAGCATGGCCAGAGGGCAGCAGGAGAGGGTTAGAAGGGAGCCTTATTCCCTGTAGAGGGAAGAAAGTTTGCTATAGATTAATTAGAGCACCTGAAGCCAATTAAAGCACCTGAAGTCAGTCACCTGATAAAAAAACTCTGCTTCAATCAGACAGGGGAAGGAATTGGAGCAGAGAGGATTGGTGTTGGAGCAGAGAGTAGTTTGGAGGGAAGCAGAGGACAGGTTGGAGAAGTGCTGCGGTGGGCTAAGAAGACCAAGACCCTGGGTAAAGGGGCACCTGGCTTGTGCAAAGGGAGGGCAGGAAGCCCCCCCACAAGCTGAAGGGCAGGAAAGGGAAGTAGCCCAGGGAAAGGAATTGCTAGTTCAAGTGGTTTACCACTATCCCTAGGGCCCCTGGGCTGGGACCCGGAGTAGAGGGCGGGCCCGGGTCCCTCTCTCTCCACTCCCCTCCTCTAGGACGCTAGTGGGGCAGTTAATATTCCAGTTCAGGGGCAAGAAATGGTGCCCTGAACCCCCCCCGCCCCAAGAAGAGAAAGCGCGAGACCCATCATAGTAGTGCCAGCAATTTGCCACAATAGATATAGAGGGAGGAAGTGGGGATAGAGGGGAGTGTGGGGGATAGATAGATTGCATCTTCACTCCACAACTGCCCCTCTTACCTGTTGTCAGATGCTACCGGTGTGGTGCTCTGCTTTCTCCTGTTGATATCACTCGGCTGCGTGCGTGTGTTCCCTCT